ATTAGCAGCTAACATGCCGTTTTGTGATTTATCTATTCTTTACATATCTCACTATTCTCGTTTCATTACTGCTCACGTTAGCCTTTGGTTTGATGACTAGCAAATCTAAACCCCTCCCCGTAATAGAAGCCCCCTTTAAAGGATCTATCCAGCAAAATTTTCAATTTTTCCCAGCAAAATCCGGCCAAAGTTTGCAAGGCCTAATAGAAGCCCCGGGGGGCTTCTAATATGGGAGGGGGTTTATGTGAAATGTAAGCTCACATTTAACCTGAAGACACACCGATCGTAATAATTAGCATACGGACAACGAACATAAATCAATGGCACCTGCGAAACAAGACTGATTCTCAACTGTTCTCAATGCTTATCGTATAAGTTATTCTGCTCTTCATATTGAATCTCGTATCGGTCATTCAAAAATTGTGTGCAACTGTAACAGAGAATAGAACCACATTCAATTGACAAATGTCTACCGACAATGCCTTCTATAGTTTCGTTCTTCTTCTCAATTGTTTGGACGGATAGAGTGTCATTCTATGTTTTCACAATGATTGAGAGAAGCGTATTTTGAACAACACTGATGAAAAAGTTGTTAGTAGTAAGAAAAAAGACCTTTTGCTTATGAATACTGTTGCACATATGACATAAGGAGTTTTCAGCATAAGAATTTTGTGCAGCGTTTACTTATAATTCATTGCTATCCAACAATGAGCCCTCGTTGACTGATGATATCCTGCTTGAAGATAGAGAAATATTTATTCAAATAAAACCAGACTAACAAGTGACGTTGAGTGCTAACATAAACTTGGCCGCCTTATTTTCATAAGCTTTTGGAGGAATTCCACTTTCGCTTTTACCACAATTACTGCGTAAGTATCAGAAAACGTTGACAAAGTTTCAAAGAAAGTCTTGTCCAACAAACTAAAGAGTGAGATGCGCATTACTCTGTCATATGATTTGCACATTTAGTGGTTTTAATATTCGATCCTGATCTAAGCTGTGCTCTTTTTCAATCAGAAAAGTATTATGTAGATGAAAAATATCTACCAGCAACTGCTTTCCTATCGGCTCGACTCTATAATTACATCCAGTAAAATCAAACGATGAAGTCAAATTATTGCCTACGTCCAACTATTTCTTGGATTGACGGAGTCCATCCGAGTCAACTTCTTCGCAACGTTGCTATTCTATGTGTTTTACATTACTCCCATGTACCTCAAACCAGCAGCTACTGGGACTTATTTGTTTTGGGATTTATTTGGACTTTTCAATAAGTCTGTAAGCATTTTAGGGATAAATCTCACATGCTTCCTCAATGCATACAATATGTGGGTGTGGATGTGTGCTCTAATATCACAAGAATGAATAAGCCCTGTTAAAATAAATAAATTCCGTAGAAAAAAACAAGTCTTTCTAGTCCTTCGCTCAAAAGCACCAAATATCGAGAGATAGGAGTGCGAATATCCCGCTAAAGTTTCAGCTACCTCTATCTATCCCCGAAGTTCACCATACAGGCCATTAAAATTCTTTATCTCTTCCTCTTGTCCGAGACCTTTATTTGTTCGGATTTTACTTTTATTTCTGACCTAGCTTCTAATGTTCCTTCAGTCAATCTACGTGTAACATAGTCAAGTCTTGAATTTCTTTTTCAAAATATTCCAAATTATTGCTATTACTCTAGAACAATTCGCATAGGATATTAGAACATATGGCAGTATGCACACACAACATGTATTATCTATATTGTCTGTCGTGAAAAAGCTGTGAAAAATCACAATATCGATCGAAAAAATGGAAAGAACTTTGGACGTTTTTAAGAATTACTTTGATAGTCTTTGAACAAATCGCCCTTGTAACTAAGAAACAAAATTTCATCTCCTTTCGGTTTAATCTCGATTTGCATTCATCAGAGAAAGCTATAAACAAAAAACTATTAGTCGGAGTATCGACATACACATTATCTTGCAATAATGCCGAGTTTGCTCTGTCAGATTTTAAGTATATAGATACGAGTTATTTTCGATACACGACAATGAAATAAAGCTTTATTCGACGTCGATAAATCAATCAACGATCGTGATAAAAAATTTATTCGAAAACTCATTAAAATGCTTGTCGATCAAAAGTCACAGCAGTGATTCATATATAAAAAACACATTCCCTTCTCATAACAATTCATTGTTTTTCCGCGTATTTGATTCAGTAAATATCGTGATGATGACAAATATCAATTCTATATTTTCATTGTGGTTCTTATTTATTTTGGTATCTGGAATAACTGTGCGACATGTACACGGATGGGGGCGAGTCGGGCATGGTCTAGTTGCCCGTCTTGCCTACGGTCGACTAAGCAAGCAAGCATCGAATTGGGTAACATTTCTTGTTCCGGGTTTTCTAGCAGACAATTTCACTGCTGTTGGCTCTTGGGCCGACGACATTCTCTATCCAGATACGAATCCTCTTGGTCATAGTAATTGGCAATGGTCCAGACCATTGCATTATGTCAACACACCGGACTGGACTTGCAATTATGATTCACAAAGAGATTGTAAAAATGATGTCTGTGTTGAAGGCGCACTGAGAAACTATTCAGGACGTGCCGTTGATACTCAATTGAATGATATTCAACATAAAGAAGCTCTTCTATTTCTCATTCATTATGTTGGTAATATTCATCAACCTTTGCATGCCGGTTTTGCTGGAGATTTGGGAGGAAATAAGATAAAAGGTAAATGATGATTTATTATGGCAGACATTTATCAAACGTCTTTTCTTCCATGTAGGTGTCTTCATGGACAGCCAATTTACAACAAATCTTCATTCGTTGTGGGATACTGGCATCATCACTAACCGTCTTTCGCGTGATTTCAAGTCGGATGTAAATCTCTACTATGCACATCTTCATGCTGTGATGGTGAGTCAGACACCGACGCCAAACGATAATGACTTCAAACAATGGGTGGATGAGAGTTTGAAATATGTCTGCGAGCAACTCTATTTTGACGAAACGAACAAGAAGATGACTTCATCGAAGAATTTTAAATTGGGTAACATCTATTTGGATAAAAATATAGGGCTGGTTGAGCAACGACTGGCACAGGCAGGTCGACGACTGGCCATTCTACTCAATAAGTTAGCTGTCACTCGTCGAAAAGGATTGCGGCCATCCGAAGACTTCTTTGCTGCACGATCGCCCTGATTTCTGTATATCGGTTTCGAAGTTGTGGTTGTTGTATGCGCCGCCTAACTTATCATTTTCATGAGATGAAAGAAATAACACAAGAAATTAAAAACCTCTTTATGAATTCAAATGTTTTTTAAATGTCCTTTTACTACGATAGTTTCTCAGATTGACCAATATTTAGGAGTTGGTCATGTCGAGATAGCTATTTCAACTAACAGTCGATATCATCAGTCTGACAAGCAAATGTAAACACACACACATGATTATAACAATACCAATTTATTGTCACAGAGATACTGTGTGATATAGATGTAGATTTTCACTTCACTCTTATCCATATCAAACCATCTCCAATTTTTCCTATATAATGTGACTCTTAATTAGACAGTTTATCAAGATTGAAAGTCATAGTTGTGTTATATGACACCTCTATCTCCTGATCATTTTCAAAGGATTATCGATTGGTCATTCCGGCTAATTATGATTCTTGCTATATAAATTGAGGAAAAGCTACATTTCTTTCAGGTGATTTCTAAAGAATAGGGATATACAAGGAAGTGTACACTAAAAGTGGTTATCAGTAATATTCTAAGATACAACTAAATCAAGTGTCTCTGTTCTACAGGACTCATATTGAAGATAATTAATCGTAAAAATTCGTTGTGTTTACAAATCAAATCACATAATTTAGTCATAAGTGCTAAGGTTTCATTGAATATAATGTTGGCAGAAACCTTGAAAGAAAAGACCACAACATCGGACAGCAAAAAGGCAATGAGTATTATTTCCTCTCATTAGAGTTTTCCTTGTTTCTACTTCCTGTGCATATTTTGAAGCACCAATCGCTTCCAATAGACACATCCACTCATGAGAAAAAACACGAAGTATTTTGCTCGTCACTATTGCTCTGTGTATTTAATTACCTTAACACTTTTAAAACGCTGTCTTTGTTAGCTTTCAAATCTATCGACAAGATTTGAGAAAGAGAAAGTTGATTTGCTATTTGTTGAACACGTATTTAAAACACCATTCAGTAATTTTTATTTTCTGAAGTAATTTTTTCTTCCCTTGTGATTCCTATTTTTTTTCCTATCAAACATTTCCTTGTTCACTAATACTCTGTTGACCGACGCTTTCATGCAAATTGCGGCTTATTTCGTCGAGATTATAATAGTGGACGGTGCTGGTATCAGCTGATTGACTCTGTCATTAAGAAAAAGCCTTTGAATATCAGGGTCCACAACCAACTTGAGTACTATGACACGTAAACAATTGATCAATGTTGAAATCGATTCGTCAACATATATTGACCATTCGTCATTCAATTGAAGTCCTACTTTTATGACGTTGGTAAAAACCTGTTAGGATACGTGAGCGAGTGGGTGTGGATCTACTCTTAAGTAATGTTATCACTCACACTCATCCATATTGTTGAATAAATTGTCATGGGAAGCATGTATTGGTGGCAAGCAGTGAGACTGATTCACACATTGCTATGGCTCAAGATTAATTTTGACGAATGGTACAGAGTGACAAAGATCAAATTCATTGTCCTAGGCCATTCAGTAATCCAGGTAAAGTTTATAAAAAGCATTCAAACTTCTTGAATTTATGATAATGATGATTCTACTGCATAAATTGGATATCCTAAATATAATATTATTATAATAGAAACATAAAAAAGGAGAAGGTATGTGAGAAAATTCTCAGAAGAAGATGCATTAAGATTATGCACAACATCAAGAAAAAAACAAATTAGTGCCGTTTTGTGAAAAGTCATCAATGAAACTTCCGAAAAAAATTCAAATGCATTTTATCACTAAATGAGAGCAATCTGTGCACACAATTCAAGCTAATAGTACTTAGTTCATGCCACATTGTTTCATGTAGATGGCGGACAATAACACGAATATGACAAAGATCAAAATAAAACGTATGCATCAAACAACATATGAAACAAGAAAAAGCTAAGAATCGCGTGTCAAGTTCATGCACTCGAGCAAAAACAAAATAATCGAACGTGGAAAAGTCAGTAGCACTAGAACTCACGGAGAAATGACAATATTTGTATGTTGTTATCATGTTTTGAGAACATGTTGCTCGTAAGTTTTGACTTTTCGCATTTTAAATCGTTGTCGAGCTGCCTTAACAATGATGATTAAAGAAAAGATTGAATTAATTGAAAATGCTACAAATAAAACAATAAATAGTACAACTAGATTGAAAACCCAATAGAAACCGCGATTAGTAGCAATGCACCACGAGTGTTGTTCTTCAACAATATCTAGAAGATGACGATGAATTGCATTGTGCACATTAGTTGAAACTAAGGCAACTCTAGTAGTCAACAAAAGTATCGCTAGCAGATGAAAACTTTTTAAGGCTTAATCATTCGAACTCATATTTTTGCCACATAGAATCCAGTGAGCCTTGGCAGCAAGAACTAATAAGAGCCGATTTGAGTATAATGCAAAGAAGCCACAAGGCAAAACATGTACTTGTCCTCAGAGTAAAGCTTTCTCGGTTCAGGGAACAAGTCCAATGTATTATGCGACTTCTCATTGGAGAAAATAATGTTGCCCCTCTTTTCCATATACGATTCAAGTTAAACGACTTTAGTTTATCTGAGTTACGAAGTACTCTTTCAAAATCATTGACATACAGTTGTAAGCAGTCTATGAACGACTTATTCAAAATTTTATTCTTTTGAGTGTCTGATCATGAAGTTTTTATAGTTCTAGTTGGTAAAAATGAGAATATTCAAGTTATAATCATTTTAGATGAAATAGAACTCATTACGTGTTGAATTCACAACAAATTGAATCGAGTTTATTTGGTGAGTAGACATTCATAAAAGGTTTACGTAGATTGAAAAATAATGGAAAAAAAATACTTAAAACTTAGACTAAATAGTAGAAATGTATTCTTACACTATTAAACAATACTATTCAAAGAGTGTAGTAGTTAGGCATTATTCACTAAATGTTTTCATTGTTAGGTCTTGGAATAAGCGAAATTCCTCAATGATATTTTCATTTCTAACAAAAACTTATTGATATAATATAAAATGAATTCGAATTTTCCTATAGAATTCGGTCAGCTGAACATTAGATCAGTTTATTTCTAATTTTAGAAGCAAGAAAGAAAGGCTATTGTAACTGTAAATCTCTGTTAATGGCTTTCGTCTAAATGTAAATATCATAAATGTAAAAGAAGGACATCTACTAAATGAGACAATACTGATTGATTGGACAATTATAGCAATTGCTATTTTTTCGCTTTCCTATTTTCACCACCACCTTGTTCACTGTTATCGAACTTGATTTCGTCGAACTCACAATATCTCTTCAACTTCATGAACGTGATCGAATCATATTTCTGTCAAAAGACAGATATGGTCCGAAACTTGCCATTAATTACATTGCGGAAGTTATGAAATATCATCAAACGATGATGAAACACTGGGTTAATGTATTGAAGAAAATTAGAGATCTTTATGATCGTCTCGAACAAGTTCGCTCTAGACATACAATAGCTAAGACGATTGACTGATGGTGGAACTGATTCAGCAAGATTTGAACGAATAAGTAAAAGCCAAAGACTTCAGAAAGTACTTCAAAGTAAAGGTGTGTACATTAGCAGTCGTGGGGTTCAACGGCGTCTGGTTTAGGGTGGATTCAAGTATTGAAGATTACTCTCGAAGCCCCTGCTTTCTTGACAACATCAACTAATGTGGGCCAAATCAATGAAGGTTTTTAATTGGAATAAAATAATGATTACTGATGAAACAATGATTCGTCTTCATGCTGCACGCAAACTATTGTGCCAGCGTTCTGGTGAACGCATGGTGCATTGGACGGCAAACTATCCAATAAAAGTTAATGTATGAGGCTGTTTATATGTAGCTAGTTTTGGTCGAATAGTTGATTTTCAGTACAATCTTAATAATCATTATCTTTGCAATGAAATCTACGAAAAAAGGATCTTTTACTTACAGTTAATCATTGTAGTCACATCGCCATGAATCGTATCGAGGATAATGATCCTAAACATCGGTTCGACATGACTATTAAATGAAAACAAAAGCATCATGTAACAATATTCTCAGGACCTTCCAATAGTGTAGATTTCAACCACATAGAGAATCAATGGGCTCTACTCAAAACAAAAATTTCAAGCAGAATGCCAAAAATTATCAAAGATGATGAAGAGCAATTCACACAGAATGAAAAAAAATCTTTCAACGAAATTGACACTAAAGCTCGTATAGAGTATGAAGTATCGTGTGAATGATCTTTTTTTAATCTCCAGACGGTTTCATTCTTTGTTAATTCGTTTTTGTTTCATCACATAAAAATAAAGATAATCAGACAACGAATGCAATATCTTTTATTTTTGAATGAATATTATAACGCGAAATGTTTTCCAAGAAAAGTAAACTCTTACGTTGTATCATACTAGACGTTATTTCATGACCAGCAGCCAATGTTATGACACGTAGGCGTCAAGTTGGCCGATTCCTTTTTGGAAAAAGTATAAATGCGTCTCATAG